CAGAACATTTTCATGATTTTATAATCATTTTCAAATACTTTTAGCAATAAATGCGTTTTGATATTATAATATTTTTCCTGAAATAAGAGTGGCATTTTTCAACAGGGAAAACTTTATTACTTACAACGAAGGTAAAGAAATGCAAATTTGTAAAAAGGGACACTTTCAAACAACACATTTCTGGTTACTTCTGCTTTATATATTTTCAAACCACTGTCACGCTTTTTGCTCTTACTTCACGAAAAGGTATGACAAATGACCATACAGAAACCAGTGAAGAGAACCCATTTACAACCAGTAAGTGGACCACTTAGACGACCACTCACAGGAAACGTATCACACATATCCTGTGTGGAATAAGTGTGGAATAGTTGGCATTCTGGTAGAAAATGTTTAGATTTAGAAGATATAATATTGCAGCAAAACAACAGATAATAAACAAATACAGGGTGATTTGTACTCAGTGTGACAAATTTTTTTTTGGTGTAAGTACAAAGTAAATGAAGTGTGATGATGCATATCAAATGTTTCAAGTCTAAAAATTAGCTTCCCAAAAAATTATTTTATGATTTTGAAAAATAACCATGTTTTTAAACTTAATACAGCGATTTCTCAATTACCTGTATATGGATTTGAGTAGATAATGTCATTTTCGTGTTCTACATTAAATTTTGAACAAGAATAATATAAAATGACGGAGGATCAGTTGTAAAAACTCCATTGTAAATAGATTCAAAGATAAAAATTAAGATGTTTGATAAACATTTTAAAAACAATTGTCTACTACATGTATAGAACACGGAAATGACATTATCTACTCCAATCCATATACAGGTAATTGAGAAATCGCTGTATTAAGTTTAAAAGCATGGTAATTTTTAAAAAACATAAAATAATTTTTTGGGACGCTAATTTTGAGACTTGGAACATTTGATATGCATCATCACACTTCATTTACTTTGTACTTACATCAAAAAGATTTTGTCACACTGAGTACAAATCACCCTGTATATTGTCTTATCCCGTAGACATCCCGTACATTACCGATTAAAACTATGAGTTTTTTGTACTTGATCACTCATGTATATACTTGTAGATTACTAATTTATTTTATATAATCAGTGTATAGTTGTCAAATATATTGTATTTGATTGAAATGAGGTCGTTTATAAATACAATAATATTATGATAAAATACAGCAATTTAACTCTAATTAAATTAATCACTTTGTTTTATAAACCATTATACAGCACAATTTGTATCTTATTGATTTGTGTTTATAGTTGTACTAACTATACTTTTGAATTTTTCTTTTAAAATGCTAAGTTCATATTTATATATAAACATATAACAACTTTGTCATTATTTTTCAATCTGTTATTAAATAAAAATCATAATTTTAAAAATCTGGTGCAATATAGGTCCAGCATATTTAAGAATTTCTTTAATAGCTGGCTGTGAAGTGAAATGCTATACGGTTTCGAAGGTTATGTTTTAATTTAAAACCTTGATAAACTAATGACGGAATGAGGGTTTAAGAAAGATTATCCATTAGAAATAATATTTATGGGGCGAATAGCTGAATATAAAATAAAAACGTCTATAATGACGTCACATATAAAAGGATACAAGTACTACTGCCCTTGTATCCTTTTATATGTGACGTTAGTATAGATAAAAAATTAATAAATAAAAAAATCGCGATTTTTTAATTTTCTGATTGGATTTTCACTAAGAGATCAGAAATCAGAATCTGAAAATCTTTATTGTTTCATATTGATTTACAAGCTTATACACAGAGTAACTTAAGAATAACTTAGATTAACTAACTCACACACTTATTTAACTATGAAACAATTCATCCCTAGGTCAAAGACCTGTTTGGGATGTTCTATTACGTATACAGGGTGGTAAAAAAGTCCCAGGACAGTTAAATATTTTAAAATATAATGCAGATAGTGCTACAATACTTGGTACCAAGCTACAGGGCATAAAACTCTATTTTAACACATATTCAGTGATCCAATAACTCTTCAGGGGGACGACCCACAAGGAGTCGGAAGAAAATCTTAAATGGAAGCATAGGTCAATATGCACATCAAATTAAAGGTCTTTTTGTAGAATACAATGCCGCAAACCGCACTTCGAAAGGTTGATTCTGCGCAAAATTACAGTTGTTCAAAGATTCATTTAATTTACATTGCTATTATACGCTTACTCCTCAGGGGGCACAGCCCTAGGAATCGGAAGAAAATTGTTAACGTAAGCATAGGTCGATATGCACATCAAATTAAAGGTCTTCACTAGTAGATTACGATGCCGTAAATTCAAGCTCAAGAGAATGCCTTAGTAAAAAATGACAGTCGTTCAAAGATTCAAAATGGCGGATTCAAGAAATCTTTGAACATCTGCCATTTTGCGCAGGATCAACCTTTTGAAGTACGGTTTGCGGCATTGTATTCTACTAAAAAAGACCTTTAATATGATGTGCATATTGACCTATGCTTCTATTTAAGATTTTCTTCCGACTCCTTGTGGGCCGTCCCCCTGAAGAGTTATTGGATCACTGAATATGTGTTAAAATAGAGTTTTATGCCCTGTAACTTTGTACCAAGTATTGTAGCTCTATCTACATTATTTTTTAAAATATTTAACTGTCCTGGGACTTTTTTACCACCCTGTATACACATATAAAAACAGCTCAAAATACTGATATACTATATATATGATATACTGAGTTTAACGAGTACTTGGGTTTATGGTTACAGGGAAGGTAGTAAAGTGGTGTTTTGTGAAACAAACCTTAATAAATCATACATGATGAAAAAATAAACATGAAAAATTGGATCGAAATATATCAATAAACATGCAAACTACAAAAGTTGACTAATACCCCATGAACAAATTACCGGTACTGAAACTTTCATTTAACCTTTTTTCGGAGTTTTCTCCGTAACCTAGGTGCACAATTAAGCTTCAGTATACTAAATTATTTGCTCTTTCGAATTCTACGACAAGTGTGGTCAATATGGGTAATTTGATGTTTTGTGGGTAAAAATGTTAATAGAATATATTTCATAACTCAATTGGGGATCTCGAAAGGTGTTGTTGCCTGCTGATGCCACGATTTTTTTTTTTTTTAATTAAGGATAAAATATCCAGAAAGTGATTCACTCATTGTACTTCTTAAAAGAAGCTGGCAACCATTTTCAATCTTGAATCAATAATTTTCTTAGTCCAGTGAATAGAACATAATGCTTTGTAAAGGATATTTTGATGTGTGTTATGTTTAATCCAGTTTAAAAATAATATATCTGTTCTTGTATTGATGCATTTATTAGTATAGCATACGAACCTTACACGCAGTCTGGATAGCAAAATGTTGACTAGTGCATCCCCGCGTTTGTTGTGGTAAAACGAAAAAAAAACATCTAGCTTACTATTTGTTCTTTTCCAACAAATTAAAATGTCAATTATATAATATTGTTAGAAGATAACCACAAGAAAAGACCATGACGTCCTAATTTCAAGAGTTTTAACTTTATATTACAGTAATTAGGTCATAAGGAGGGCCTATTCAGTGACTTGGACATAGTTTTACGTTCGTGTAAATCTTGTCTATACAGGGTGGCTGAAAAGTAACTTGCACCCCCCCCCCCCCCGCTTAACTTTTCTACCATTTGAGATATTTGAAATCGGTTTGCGGCGACCTGCTTAGATATGAGGAGCTACAATAATTGTGGTAAATTTTGAAAACTTTGCCCTTATGGGTAGCGGGGGTAGGGGGTAGCTAAAAAATTAAAAACGACAAGTATAATCGAGTTTGTTATCATTTTACAGGTCTTGGCGAAAAAAAACAATTGACATAAAGAAAACGAAAATCGGCCAACTAATAACAAAATGGCGCCCTAAAACGTATCAAATCCAAATAACCATGAGGGTGGCTGAAAATTAACTTGCACCCCCCTTTACCTTCTTAACTATTTGAGATATTTGAAATCGGTTTGCAACAACCTGTTTCGATATGAAAGACTACAATAATGCTGGTAAATTTTAAAAATTTTGCCCTTAGGGGTAGTGGGGGTTGGGGGTAGCTTAAAATTTTCAAAAAGGAAGTATGGTCGAGTTTGGTATCATTTTATAGGTATTGATATAACTAAACAATAAACATAAAGAAAATAGAAATCGGACCTAACAAAATGGCAGCTAAAAATGATTAAGACAATGGTTATTAAAATTAGTTTATGACTGCCATTTTGTTTTTAGTGGTCCGATTTCAATTTTCTTTATGTTAATTGTTTAGTTATGTCAAGACCTGTAAAATGATACCAAACTCGCCCATACTTACTGTTTGCAAATTGTAAGCTACCCCCAACCCCACTACCCCTAAGGGCAAAATATTTTAAATTAACCATCATTATTGTAGCCATTCATTTCTAAACAGGTTGCCACAAACCGATTTCAAATATCTCAAATAGTTAAAAAGATAAAGGGGGGTGCAAGTTAATTTTCATTCACTATCATGGTCATTTGGATTTGATACGTTTTAGGGCGCCATTTTGTTACTAGTGGGCCGATTTTCGTTTTCTTTATGTCAATTGTTTTGTTTAGTCAAGACCTGTAAAATGATACCAAACTCGACTATAGTTGTTATTTGATAATTTTGAGGTACCCCCTACCACCGCTACCCAAGGGCAAAGTTTTCAAAATTTACCATAATTATTATCAGTCCTTTATATCTAAGAAGGTTGCCACAAACCGATTTCGAATATCTCAAATTGTTGAAAAGTTAGGGGGGATGCAAGTTACTTTTCAGCCACCCTGTATACCTTCTCTGCTCTAAAAGTGCCCGACTATTTAATGTACTTGGAAAATATGAATGGTATTACTATTATCCTAAAACTTGAAACCAACCATGTTGAAAGTCTTTACCATACCGAAATAGAAGTGTTGTCATGATTTCGCAATATATCAATAATTACGTAGGACGCAAGTGTTAACCATATTGAAGCGGTAACTTGTAGTATAAAAACCCCTGCACCGGTGTTCACACCTCACTGAGCAGTGACCTAGACAACAGGTAAGTTATTGACAATATAGTCTTATCGCAGCATTTTTTTTAGAACCTTACTATGTAAAAGTGTTTTTTCAAAGTGTTATCCTTCTCTCTGTGGGTGTACCTTGACAAAATGAATAATATTCTTCGAATTTTTAAAAATATTTTAGTAACTGATTTATACTTCTTAAAATAAATTACTACTGTATACTTAAAACACAATCAGACACCGAAATCTTTTTTTCCTGCATTGAAATAGAAGGAGAAAACGGAAAAGAACATATTTTTACATCCTTTAACAAAAGCATTGAAGAATATTATAAAAAATAAATTACTTTTGTACTATACTACTATACTATACTTTGTATTATGTGTGAGATAAAACATGTTTACATTTAGGAAACCCGAGTAGGCTATAACTAGGTTGTAAACGTATTTTTTTATTTTAATTTTATTGATTTAATAGATACATATTATGTGCAAATATACTAATTAGATTGGATAAAAAAACAAGAAAAACATTATAAAACCTGGAACCAATGTTGAATGAAATTTCAGCTCAAGTAATCAGAATGGTTGCGGACAAAACTTACATTTTGTACACAGTTGGGATGAAAATGAAAAATAAGCTTCATCACAAAGAAAATACCAAAAACATATATTTTCTTACCAAACTTTATTTAGATTAAAAGACTGCAGCTCAATTAATTATTGGTCAACAACAACAATGGTTACATGGGTATTTTCGATATTTCAAGCTGTTATTAAAGGCCAGCTGTAGTTTTTTGTGAATTTGTAGCGGTGCCAAATAATATGTTACAAGAAAACTGTACAACCTTTTATTTAAGTGACTAGGTAAAAACTGAAATATAAACAACAAACAATAATCATAACATGTGTTATAAAATTATTAAACCATCTGTCACTACATAATTTATTGGACATTTCTTAAAATAATACAAAATTAGCCTTACCCTTTAATAAATGAATCTTGACCCATTATTAAGTTAAATATTGTTATCAACCACAGAATAATGCACTTTCATTTAAGCGGTGCGTAGCAACCATAAAACAGAATTGAGACAACTATGGTTTATTATTTTTTATTTACAGGAATGTAGTTTTAATTTTATAACTTTTTGTTATAAGTTTTGAATTTAAAACTTATTTAAAAGCTGATAAATTAAGTTTATTTTGTTTTTATTACGATTAAAGTAACCATGGGAACCTATATTTTGAAATTATTTTCAAAAAGTTAGAATATTTGGGAGTAAGGGGCTTAGCCCTGGCATGGTTTAAAATAAGTTAATTCAAAGGCATTCAAAGTGCATACATACAAACATTAAAAACTCAACTGAGCACACAATTACGTGAATAATATAGTTTTTTATTTAGTAATGTGTCGAAGGCAAGCTGAGTTTTGTATGTGGATTCATGGCGGTTTAAGTGTTTTGAAAGTTATGTTAGATTAGGAAGGTACAGTGTAGGTCATAGTGAACCAAGTTGATAATTTATATTACACGTAGGCTGTTTTTGTGCTATTAAAATAGTTGCTTAAACACAAAGAATTACAATTTTCAAAACTGAATGCTATTTAGAAACATTTCAATACTAACAGAATTTTTTTGGCCACGTCTTTTATTTAAAGTTGATATTGACTTTTTTACTGTACAGTTTTGGTTGTTGAAAATTAAAACATTTGACGAAACAATAACACATGTTTGTTTGTTGATGGAAAAAAGATAGTAAACCTTACTTTTGCATGGCAAACATTCCTTTTGCGATGTAAACAATGCAATAATACATTTTCGCAGGTGATAAACACAATATCACGAATACAGAAGATTTCACAGTAGCTACTCTGTCCATTGTATCTGTTGCTTTACCGCTGACGTCATACTATGCCTGTTGGATCATTATTGCATAATAATAGGGACGATACAGAAACCATTTTGGGATATAACTTAATAGTGAATATATAAAAAAAGATTATATAAAATAAATCGATTTAAGGATTTTTTATATCTATTTGTTAACACGTAATTTAATTATTTCCAGACGCCACATCATGAAAGGATTTTTGGCATTAGCTACATTGCTCTGCTGTCTGGCATTGGTGGTGTGCACTGTAACCCCTCCCCCTAGTTTGGAGAACTGGGATCCAAGTAAGCCCATTGACGCAAAAACCCTAAGTGAAATGATCCCAGGGTCAAGGTATACGGACGATCCAAGTGTTCGTCCTGAAGATTTGTTACCCCCTTGCCCTGGCAAGACTAAACGACATTCTGTAAAGATATTTCCGGCGAATCAGGTATTTCCCATCCATACTCTGAATAGGTTACAATTAACTGAACGTAAAAATAAAACCAAGGTCGATATTGTTAACATACAGTGACTACCGTACTATAATCGGCTGTTGTTCTGCGGTCTATCTTGTAATTATTGATAATTGTCTAGTTTGACGGTTCAATGATATCTAGAGGTATTAAAGGTGTTATCAAACCAACCCTAATAATCGCACGCCCTCTAGGTGAGGCACTGACACTTGGCACTATCAATTTAATAGCTCGTGTCTACCACAACCTCGGGCTGACATCCTATATTGTATCCCAACTAGGCTTGACTTTACTGTTCCTTGGGTGACTAACTAAATCTGACTACAAGTGACACTACATCACCCGTATCCATCAGTGCCAATATCGTTAATAAATTTTAATCATAACATAGGGCGTAGGATCTTTACTAGTCCCGTTTTTACCAAGGGTGCTAAAATGTCTAACTTTAAATCAGCCAGTTTTTCTAATCGTTCAGATGTCTCTAGTCTGCATCCCTACCTTGCACCGCGAAGCTCGCTTATCGTTTTCTTTTCAATTACAATTATGGTGATCTTACTCCAGGTTTCTTGACGATAGAAACGTTTTATTGCAATACTATTCAACTATTTGATATTTTCGGCTTCCAACAAAGTCTTTAGGTGTGGCCAGTCTCATCATAATTCCAGCAAATCAACGACCTTATCTTAGCTGGTGTTTCATTTGTAGTTCCCTGACCTTTGGTCTTATTTACTTACCAGTGCATACGAAGGTGCACGAAATAGTACTCTTACTTGGAGGCTATTATCCATGCCTCGCAGTATTGTGGGCATATTTACCATTCATAGGAATTTTTCCATCGTGAGCTCTGGATCTAAAGCCTGTGTCAGAGATTGAGGGGGTTTAATATTCAGTGTATCTCACAAAAAGGCATATACTAAGGCAAACTTTATTATACTTGCTATACCAACGAATTCCCGACGCCTTGCGTATAGTTTAAAGTTAGGGCGCGTGTTCAGAAAAACTCTGTCCACCTAACTATGCTCCATGAAACCACTTCTTCTTCTTCTTATAAGGGACAGAAGGGCTACCACAACACACCTCATGTATTACATCTCATGTATCTGTTGAAAGGCCCACATTTAACTAGATTTATATTCCTTATCATCAAATTAAAGATCATCAAGGGGTCCGAAACCCCCTCAAGAAGTTTGTAAATCCTACCCAGAATCCTTACCCGTTATTCATATACCAAAGTAAAGCACTTTCTAGTTCATGCAGAACTTGGAACACTTCGTCTATAGCAATATACTAACCAATTACATTTTTGTAGTTTTTATAATATTAAATTAAGTTTCAATTTTTGGTTTTATAATGTACTTGACCATTTTACTGCATATGTTTTAAATAGTTGTTTTTCAGTAAGCAGTTTTTGTGAATTGCCACCTTTTGAGGGCCAATTTAGATTTAGAATTATTATTCTTCACTTGATGACGGGTGGAGTTTATCCACCTCCAGAAACGTTGATCAGTTTTAAACTCAAGACACATTGGAAAAGTCCAATTAAAAATTGTAACATGTTTTCAATTGTTTCCAAACTTGTCTTTTAGTTATTTAAGCTGTTTAAAATGCTTTTTGTTTAGGCGTTAAAATCGATAGGTGTTTTTAAAACTAGGCCTTGGCAAGAGCTTATAAATTTAAGAGAACTATGTAATATTTGCTTTGCTATACAATGTATCATAATAATTCTCTATTATTACAAATCCTGGGGCCTTTTGCCAGGAGCTTCTTATCTTTTCTTGTATGATTGACTTGCATAATGATTCGCTTAATGTGGACTGGTCAGCAATTAAATACTTATCATCATATGAAATGTGAAACTTCAATTATATGGCTTATGACATGTGTGAATAATGCGGGGTCACCTTTGAGTGTTCTGAGTTCTGATTATTAAAATGTTTAGTCTAACTTGTGTTTAACATGGTTTCTAGATTTTGATAAATGTACTAATCGTGTTTACCTAGACAGTAGCTGTAAGGTAAACTTTAATTGTGTGATGAAATGTTGCGTCACAATATTAGCTTTGCTGGGATAGTCAAGCGAGATGGGTACACAATACTTTCTATAGTTCCAAAATGTAATGTGCATCCAAAATAGTGTGCCAAATGTTGATTTCTAAAAAATATTTGGGCTAATTGATGTAAATGATTACCGTAACCTTTAAATAATATTGGAGTCTATGAGAGGAAAATACCACTCAGAATCTGGAAGATGGAAGTAACCACTCATTTATTCCACCAATCACAAGCAACATTCCAGTCCCCTTATGTCCATGTTTGTGAGAAAAATTTAAATGACGGTTATCTGGTAAGAAAAGAGTTTTTGGGAGTATGTTTTTCTTGATTTTCTCTTTATTTTGAACCAAGAACCTCTTTACCTGACTTTAACACTGCATTTACTGGACAGTATCATACTGTTCTTACTAGACAACCCGTCCAATAAAAATATCAATTATCAATTATTTAAGATGGGGACGCCACTATGTGCGTATTTTAACCCAAATATGAGTGAAGGATGAGTGTAGGATGAGTGGCGCGATCTTGTAGTCTTGTTAGTGACTAAGGCCGACATGTTCCTTAGACACAGCTGTTAATTAATAGCCCATACAGCTAATGGCAACTAAGGGACCTACAGTTTATAGTGGAATCCGAACCACATTTTTCCTTGTAATTTACGAATTATTAGAAGGCTATTTCGTATTTTTTACAGTTAACGTAAACAAATATAATTCATTTCATCTTCACATTCTTTCAGGATCCTAGTTCACAGGATAACAAAGGACCATTGTTCACCAAGCCTGTTGGCTAAGTTATGTGAGCCCTTCGCCAGGACCACTGAGTTGAAACCAACCGAAAAAAATCAATACTTGTTTTTAATACAAATTTGTGTTTGGTGTACAACACAACATCGGCTTTAACGAGATAAATATGATAGAAAATATGTGGAAAAAATGGATTGTGTACTACTTTCACACTTTAAAAAAATTATGCAAGTATTTTAAAATGGTAGATATAAATTGACTAAATGTATTGCACAAAAACTAACTAGAGTATTAATAAATAAGTATAAAAACATACGATTTTTATTCCCTTTCTTGTGATACAAATCCTATAGCATAGACTAGCAGTGACATAATTATCACGAGATAAGGTACCTATGAAAGGCGAGTCATTTCATTTATTTTTGGAGTTTTATCTTTCGATAAGTTTAGCCGTTATAACTTCTCATCTTAGTTAACTTTTAATATGGATCAATTAAGTAGGCGTATTCTTAGTGTGCAAAAACGCAGTTAGTATAACATTTTATACAACGAAAAGGTTTTTACAAACGAAAATCCTTTGTGATAAGGCTTTGTGCGATTTTACTTTGTAGTAATGAGAAAACTATTTAATTTAGTGAATACATACTAATTTGTTGTCAAAATCACAATAGTACATCATATAGAGCCTAATCACTTATGATTGTTCCTCATGAATGAATAACTGAAAAATACTACGTGTTGAAAAAGCGATTGCGTTAAGTGTGCCCTAAGTAACACTTAAGAAGTTTCATTTTCTTGTTCATTAAAAGTAGCTGTTTCAAGTTTTTTTATCATCCAAATACCCATCGTCAAGTTAATTGAACTCTGATGGCACGTCATCAACTTAACTGCGCTTGACTTTGGATTTGCATAATGTTTTCATCAGAGTCCCAAAAAATATAATTTCGTTAAAACAGCGTAATGACGTTTAAAATTGCAGTGGGATAGGATATTTAATGAGTTAGGTTACATGAAGAAAATAACACTATATTAGGAGGAATAGAAAGTGACAATTCAATGATCATAAATGGCGGTGATCATAAATGCCACATGATCATAAATCATGTGGCAACTTGTTTGGATATGAAGGGCTACAATAATTATGGTCAGTTTTGAAAATTTTGCCCTTAGGGGTAGCGGGGGTAGGGGGTAACTTAAAATTATCAAAAGTCAATGATAGTCGAGTTTGGTATCATTTTACAGGTCTTGACGAAACAAAACAATTAATATCATGAAAATAGAAATCGGACTATTAACAACAAAATGGCAGTTCAAAATTACTTTTAATAACCATGGTCTTAATAATTTTTAGCTGTCATTTTGTTATTATTGGTCCGATTTCTATTTTATTCATGTTGATTGTTTTGTTTCGTCAATACCTGTAAAATGATACCAAGCTCGACTATACTTGCTGTTTAACAATTTTGAGCTACCCCCTACCCCCACTACCCCTTAGGGCAAAATTTTCGAAACTGTCCATAATTATTGTAGCCCTTCATATCCAAACAAGTTACCGCAAACCGATTTCAAATATATCAAATAGTTAAAAAGTTAAAGGGGAAGCAATTAATTTTCAGCCACCCTCATGGTAAGTACATGGTAAAGTTTTGTTTTACTTACCATTTATGAACATTTATGATCATAAATGGTAAGTAAAACAAAACTTTGTGAAGTCCGCTAGCCTAGTCAACACAAATTCCTACTTAGGAACAGATTCAACTTGTACTGGTTAAAAAAATCAATTCGAAAACGATTTAAGCCAATAGCCTTTATAAATAATCGTTAACTAAGTATTTTTACCTTACATAAACCAAAGCCTAACTGCAGGATTCAACAACAAAGAGATTACATAATTGTATCTTCCCTAGATGAGATCTTACCTTCAGTCAGGACTTGAGGTTTATGTTTAGGGTATAAGCTCCGTATTCACACTAAACTTTCAACTACCACATAATCCTATCCTAATAATAATTATAAATCAACATTAAAACATAATATATTACAGTAACGTAGTATGACTTCATACAACATAATACAATAAAATACATAATTAATATAACATATATAATAATAATAATAGAGTCTTTATTTATTTATTTTTTATTTATTTTACGGTAACAACCATTTACAATAATATGCTAATATGCTATAAATTCTAAGAGTATTAATAATAGAGTATAACAATAATACTCTATCAAAAAATCAGCGATTGTATAGTTTGTCATGTTAAATTACAAAATGTTCATCTATATAGTGTAGAGTAGCAAGTACTACACCTAGTCTGGATTTGACAGTTTATTTCATCGTAATTGGCCTGAACATTCAAAATGGCGTACCTCTGAAACAGGTGGTTAATAATTTACAACTCATGTTTTCTGTTATCTGCCTCAATCTTACAGTTGAAGTTTCATTTGACTTATTTTGATACTTTATAAAATAATTTTTAATAACTTGTTATAAATTGACATATTTTCAATGTATCCATTAAGATTTTTTCAAACGTAATTTTCGGGATTATTGAAAAAAAAAAACGCCTTTGTGTTTATAGTAACACTGTTCAACACTTAGGCTTAACCATATAGCATAAACAACAAAAGTCACGCATAACAATGCCATGAGTAAACAATAAATGTCTCCATTCTCACAGACCACGGGGGATACACTCGACAACTTGGCTTTTACACACCTTACAGTGACTTAAGTTAGTTAATTAGTACTTGTACTTTAATATTAAGTATCGCTTGGTGTTTACTAGTTTACGGACGTGTTAAAATGTTTACCTAAGACCGTTTTGTAAAGTAACCGTTTCAGTTCAGTTCGTCGAATAAATAAGTTTCACATAACAGCATTGTTTACTTACATAACAGCATGGTTTAACTGAACAACATGGGTAACGAACCAATGAGGTTCAAGGGTTGAGAGAAAAGAAGTAAAAATGTAAAGCTTCAAATCAGCCAATTTAATAAGTGGTGCAATTAGTGTTTGGTACAATGATTCGTTTGCACGACTGTCAGTGGCCATGAGAGGTTTTGAACGATAGCAAAACCTCTCTTAGAAGTTTTGACTAGTGATTTTTAGTAATTAAAACACTGTTGTAGGTAAAGTAGTGTACGCAACTCGCGTAAATAGTTTTATTGACACTCGTAGAAGTTTTTCTCGTGTCGTTAACGCGATCATTGCGTAAACTATTATTACATACAACTAAGTGATTATAACCCTGGTAGGGTCACCGGTTCGACCCCCTTAATAACTTTTATAGATTCAAAACCAGGCATAGCTGTCCCTTATTATTTTTGTGTGCCCTACCTTAGGCGTTAGGTTATGGCCTAACACCGTTATACACATTACAGCACCTTAAGTATGGAGGGCTGCGAAATGATCACTTCCGTCTATTGGTGATTGGTGGGATTTGAACTCGGGACCTCAAGAGCCACTAGACTAACTTGATCCCCAGTCTTTGATCATTGGGTCACCATTTTTTTCATATAAATGGGTATGATTTGGAAAATCAGACTTATATCAGTTAGTCCCTTTAATCCATGGCATCTCCAGAATTTTTTAATTTTCTTTAGAAATTTAGATTATTACTGGCAATTTTTCCGTAAAAAAAAGGAAAAATCTAATTTTTACAAAAGGAGCTCAAATGGTTACGATTAAAATCCAAACAAAATGGGACAACCCCCATTGCTGTGTAAATTAAGCTTCAAATGTTATTGGAACCTTTGTGGGGTTCCCCATCATAGTAGCTTCCACCGCTCACCAGTGATATACGTTGTTAGCAAGCTTATAGTGAAAGGTATGGGGATTGCTGATACCATTTTGCACGAGACTATTTTTTCACAATTTACACAAATGTGATTGTTTCAGCAGCAGAGTATCAATTTCATGGCAGGTTCGATGCGTCTGGTATTTGGATCCAAAATTAGAAACAACTCTGTATATTTATTAGTTGATATTTTAAAGTTTTTATTGTATTTGATCCAAGTGCATAAATAAATATTCTTTATAGATACGTAAATAGATATCTATCGCCATTTACCATCTATTATGTGTATTTACAATCTTGTGAGTCAACAGTATAAGTGTTTGTATGTTTCAAATGTTATTTGATGTATTTTTTATTTCCTTTATTTAAATTGAACAACACGTGCAATGCCAATCAAGAAGCCAACAAGTAATAACTAACCTACTATAGCGCATTTAAGGAATTACATATAAGAAAATAGTGCCTTCATATAGGAATAGACAACACCAGACCTAAAACACAATAATTACAGCATTCAATAATTTTCCTAGATAGTCTCTTCCTTTAACATCATCAGTTACCTTTATATCTATACACACTAGAAACCGATTTGGGTTTGAAAAAAGTATAGGAATCATAACAATCAATGTTTATTGAATTCTACTCCACTCGCATTACAGACACTCAGGCATTCATGAAGTAAGAATTAAACTTTATGATAATTTTCATGAAATGGAAAAGTGCTTGAGTAGAATATAATGCAAATGTCATGATAATCAATTTTCATGTTGAACCCTCAACAGGACCAGTTTCTCACGTATGTTTTCCCAATATTCCATAAACAAGTCGTCAAAATTGTCAAGAACATTGTGTTTCATCAAATAGTCTCCTACTGTTCCTTTCAAGTGAAGTTTCAACGGCCCGCGCACCTTGATGAGCGATGTATCTGCCTTTTTCAACTGCTTCACAGTGACCATATCATTTTCCATACTTTCTGTGCATAGTTCCATCAGTCTACTGGTCAATTCATTACCCTGACCTAAGTCTTGTACATTGACTTTTGCAACTGCGTCAAGAATGGATTGAGCGAGTTTCTTTGCTGGTCCAACGATTTCCTGTAAAGAGTAAGTTAACTCATCCAACAATGTACATTTATTAACTGCTAAAGCTACAACAACATATAGTTTAAATTTTCCAATGTATGGGGTCCTAATAGAAACCCCAGTTTATTTAATTTAACAAAGAGGATTTTAGCTATCGGTTTATACTCTTTTGAATTGCATTAGGTGCAAAGGATGCATTATGTAATCTAGCTTGAGCCCCTGCTCATATACTTGAGTTCTGAAGCCTGCTGTTTACATCTAAATCTTTATTTATTTATGAGCTTGTTATATATGCGTTAAATACCTCTAACGTTGATTTTTAACTATATATTGAAGCACACGTATGTGAATATATATGGAAGATTTAAATTGGGTGAGGAAATTTTTATATTTTAAACCCCAGAGACCGTAAAGTATCTTTTAAATGTGCTTAACTCACTTTTGACTACCTTTGTTGTATAATCATTATTGCTATTTAAAAATGCATTTAATATTCTTATCAGTAGTCCATTCTCTTAAATTCGTGTTTTTATACACTTTTAGGTTAAGATGTTTACAACTATGAAATTCCAAGGTCACCTTTTACGTCTTGTAAGAGTGAGTATATATCCTATTTTTAGCTAGACACTAACATGTTTGAAAGCCATTAAGAAATTGTAAAAAATATATTGTTTTTAAGTACATTTATAAATAGGGTCCGTTTAAACTACATTAGTGTACACATTTTACGATTAAATATATACATAACCAAGCAACTTAGAAACATGGGAATAGTTAAATAAAAAATTGAAAATATAACCATTTTTTAGAAATTTTACTCGGATAGTTATGGCCATACTCTGAGCAAAGCCTTCTGCGAACAGTTATTATAAATCTGCTTTTATGAAACCCATGAGGTCAGATTGGTGTTTAAAATGTTAAATGTTACGTAGTATACAGCTGGTGTAGAAAAGTCCAATGTCGGTCTGCTGACTATGCAGTATGCAGGCCTACTGCAGCCACAACACATGCCATTGAGAAGAAACATAACTTATTATGTGATTTTTACAGAATTTGTATAATCACTTTTCATTATTACTGACATTTTCATAATTATTTTTCGCAGTTACTGTATTAAACTGCTTTGAATTTGATTTTTAACTTAACAATTCCCATGTTGTTTAATAAGTCCAAAGTTGTTTGTTTGATAACCAAACAACAAAACAAACAGTTATGTTTAAATCATACCGGTGGAAAAGTTGTAGGCGTCTGTTCTCCCTGGTTCGACCCGCCAAGGCTTCCTAGACTGAATGAACCAGTTGATCCGGTCTGCTCCTGTATGTGTGAACCAAATTATTATATTTAAATATGCTTATAGGCTATGGAAACCAAAATTAAATACTCGATTAAAATATATTATATATGAAAATTACCATTCCGAATGGGTAGGAGACAGTGTCGGCTCCTTTCATTGGCTTACTTAAAAAAAAAATATTGCGGCTGTTTAAGGTTCTCTAGCCAAAATATTTTATAAGCTAAGGATCATCCAAAAAAATAAAACTATAAGTTATTTTATAAAAGTATATGTTATTTTACGAGTATTTATTTACAGTACGGTATCTATTTTCGGTAGACCGTGTAGTAACAGCTATTTACCTTACAAGTGTAGGAAGAGCGTTTTTACATCACGCGGGTGAATGTTGTGCAACGAGCGGAAGCGAGTTTCATAATTCACTTAAGTGATGTAAACACGGTCTTGCGTAACGAACAAGATTTTACCTGACCGGAAAATATACAGGGGGTTACGTACAATATTTTTCACTATCCATTTCACTCATCTTCTAACAGTAACGTTCTTTTACAAACAAAAGCTAGGTTAGGAAAATTCTTTAAAGCAAAGCAATAAAATTCAAGCGCACAGCTGATTTCTAGCGTTGAACGTAGTTGGTATATATATTTTTAGTTGAGTACTCAATGTAATTTAAATGGATTTCATTACTTCACTAGTGAGTTTTTTTAACTTCACTTCACTCGTGAAGTAAAGAAGTTTTTTTCACCACGCTTGGGATAGGGAAGTTTAACATAGCGGGTTGGGTAAATATTTTAATTCAGTTCCCATTGTTGTGCTAGTGCAATAGGGAATTTGAGCGAATCACGTTACCATAACATTAGAACTCCTCAGTTATTTATAATTTAATTCTTGCTAAATTAGTCATATAATATTACATTTCACATTATTTTTATTTTTATGTGTTGAAATACAATAACAGCCATAATACAAAATAACATAAAAATCTACTTACAGTAATAAAAAGAAATACTGGGAAAAGGTATGCATTCTATAAAAAAACTTAATTAAATCCTAATTTTTCATTGTAGGGTTTTGGTAATATTTTAATACATGTTCAAAATTAATTAAATTTGAGTATAGTATGAAAATAAAAATAAAAATCACATTATACCATACTTAACCCCTAACTAAACAGACTCTACGTTAAGATGTTTACAACTGTGAAATGCCTTATAAGGACACCTCTTACTTGCAAAAGTGAGTCTGTATTCTATTTTAGCCAGACACTAATATTTTATGAAGCCATCAATAAACCGTTAAAAAAATAAATCGAAGAAAAATATTATTCCTTTTTCCTTAATAAAATCAGGCCGTCGTCTTAATTTTCTGCCTGCTCACGTGAGCGCCAAAGACCAGTTAGTGGAATGTATTTATAAGGAAGAGTGCAATAGTGGACTATAATGCATTATGGTGAGACTGGGAAACTAGATTTACATTGTATTGTGTAACAGGTTGAGCAAAAAAAATTTCAAGTATGGGTTGAATTGTCTTCTTCATTAATTGTAATATAGGGTTGGCAAGGTGAATTGGTATGCAAGTCAGGAGGCGTATTGGGATGTTAATGTAACTACTCTTGCTTATCACTCAGTAACAGTTTAGTTATAATAAGCCACTAAATGTGAGAAGGGGGGGGGGGAGAAAGGGGTCAATGTACCTGGACCTGGGTGAAAATTCCGATGAAGGGAATATGAATTGGTTCTGGTAATTATGAAACCAGTGTAGGGAAGTAAATTAATTCTGAAGAAATGTGACTAGGTCTGAGCTGCCTCCAGGACGCTTCCATCAACCTTCCAGGAGTTTTAGTAAGTTTTGTAATGCTACCATGTGTTTAAGCCTGAGCATAGTTGAGATGGGTTTTTGTATGTCACAGAATGATTATAACAAGAATAATCTATGTCTAAATCATACCGATGGATAATTTGTAGGCGTCTGTTCTCCCTGGTTTGGTCCGAAAAGGCTTCCAAGACTAAATGCACCAGCTGTTTGTGACTGCTCCTGTATGTGTGAATCAAATTATTATATTTAAATATGCTTATAGGCTATGGAAACTAAAATTAAATACTCCATTAAAATATACTAAATATGAAAAGACCATTCCCAATGGGTAGGAGTGTCGGCTCCTTTCATTGGCTAATTTGTGCCATTTTGAATGGTTTTCTAGCCAAAATATTTTATAAGCTAAGGATCATAAAAAAATGTATGTTATTTTATAAAAGTATATGTTGTTTTACGACTAAGCAAAAATATTGTGCTCCAGGACGCTTCCATTGATTAAGTTTTGTTATACTTGTTTCATTAAAGAAAAAATCATTTATACAAAGCCAGATTATTAGATTAGTTTTTTTTGTTTATGTTACTATGTGCTTATGCAAGTTAAGCCTGAGCATTGTTGAAATGTGTTTTCTATATGTCACACAATGTCTATAAGAAGAAAACCCGTTCGCAACTCGAAACTACACGTTTTCATGTCTAAATCATACCGATGGAGAAGGCGTCTGTTCTTCGTTTTTCGTTCCAATAAGGCCTCCAAGACCAAAAGCACCAGCTGATCCGGTCTGGCCCTGTATGTGTGAACCAGATTATTTTAATTAAGTTTACTTATAAGTTATACAAACTAAAACTAAATGCTCGTAAAAAGACCACTGAGAATGGGTAGGAAACATAAGTGTTGGCTCCTTTCATCGGCTTATTTGTACTACAGTTGAATGGCGCAAATAAAGTTGTTCTAACTAGGGATCATCCAAGAAAATAAAAGTATATGTTTAGGACCTACAATTTAAGACAGAACAAAATAATTGTGCTGTCAAAATAAGTTCACACACAACTACGATGTATTATTTTTTGTTGGACTCTGTATTAAGTGGCTTTTGTATTTTAATTTTGTTCCCTTTGTTGCGCTTGCGCAATAGGAACTATGAGAGAATCAAGGCACCACAACAATAAATTGAAATTGGAATACATTAAGTTATTTTTATAGCTCAGCCAGTGTTACATTAGTTACATTACTACCAAGAATATTGCTGTTCATCTGTTTTAATAACATCCGCAGATAGCCTACGATATTATATTGCAACTTGTTTAGTTCAAAATATATATTATATAATTTTTTTTATTGTAATCACCAATTTCAAACATGGTTTGTTTACGTTTTTATTAATATTAAATAAATATAACTATATAAAAAAACTAAATTTTTGGTATATGAAATTTTACAATAAAAACTATAACCAAAACGTTACAAAACAATGCAATTTTCAATAGTGTTTATGGGGTAAAAATGGGGTTTTCCCATTTGTGACCCTAAAAACAAAAAAGAAATTGCCATTTATTTCTAAACCGGTTTGTAGGGCATAAAAAAATAAATAATTTAGTATATTGAAGCGCTGTTGTATGCCTAACGGTCACGGAGAAAATTAAAAAATAGTGTAACTTAAAATTCCCATGTTATTCTTATGGAGAAAATGAAAATTATTGTAGTTAACTTGTTTATGAATATATATTGATAAAATTTGGTAAATTCATTTATTTCATCCAATACTATTGACGTGTAGTCAAAAAAACGCTTTTTACCTTCCCCATAGCAGTAAACCTAAGCATTTGTTAAATCTAATGTTATTTAGGCCTAAATAGGGAATAAATATGTCTTATTTATGAAAATATTTTAGTAAAAATGTAATCAGAAAAGTTGAAATTCGCTTAGTCTGAAGGTTTTCTGCGGCGGGGGTATTTAATATTTAAGTTGAAACAATGGATAAAATGAATAAAAAGATTCGTCCATGTTATTGTTTTTTTTTTTATTTATATCATCTGTTACAATTAATTAATGGTACGATTAAAATCATTACGATATTATTATTGAACAATTATCGATGTATATCGTTATTCATCCATAATATACTCTGTGAAAGTGTACCCCTTGCTTGTTCTTAAACACTTATGATACATATTTGTATACGTTCGAAATTTGTAACTGCCACAAACTACGAATCTGATCATTCATGTGCTACACATTTTTAGTAAACTTACCAAGTTTGAAGTCAAAGAAATAAAGTCCTATATTTTATAGTTGCTACAAATATTTTCATCTTTCCCATATCACAATATTTTTAGTATACACTCAATTCCTGTCAAATACGCTCCACTTTCGCGTATTGCTTTTCCGTGGAAAAAGTAAAAAGTTTACAAACCATCATCTTAAAATGATGGTGTGAGATAAATACCTTACACGTGTGTGAAAATATGCACAAACGTATATGATCTTTATACGTTTATATTAAAGTTTACAATTTGGTTTAAATCATAGGTCAACCTATCCTATTTATTATTTATTTATTTATTTTTGGAGTAAATGTTAGCATCAAACATTTTGACGTACCTGCCGATAATTCTTTTCTCACGTCAAGAAGTAGCCCTAATCCACTCCAAAAGATTACATTTTAAATTCGTAAACACGACCTTATAAGTCAAACTATACCTTGGTTAAAGAGTCAGAATTTGGTTGTTGAGCGCTTCCGAAAAAATCAACTGTTTCACCCACTTTTGGTCCATAGTTTTTACTTTCTTCGTGTTCCTTTTTGAACCTGGCTAATATGGCTTGATTCATGATGGCTGGCTGTTGAAAAATAAAGTAAATAAATTAAAATTTGGATTATTGGAGGTTCAACAAGATGAATTTTAATCAAGGATAATTTTGGTAGCTAAATAGGCTCTGTTTGACTGTTTTAATTCATTTCTGCATTCCCAAGTTATCTTCGTCAAATATATAATCGCACGTGAGTTTACAGAAAATTTGTTACTGTGTTTGAATTTCTGGTTTTGGAAATCTGAAGGAAGGTGTTAATCCTTCCCAAAACCCCCTGTATTGTAATATTTGTAATAGCTTTTTTTGCTTATTATGTGGCTGTATACAAGCTTGAATAAAAATGTAAATAACAGCTTTACCAATATATGTTTTTTTAGTTACACATAACCTATACTTTTAGAAGTAGAAGACTTTAACTATATAGTTTGTTTATTTATGATTCGAAAAATTCTGTTTTATATCACATTTTTTGGTTCAAATTTTAATTAACTATTTGGCTAAGGTCACTGATATTAACAGTCTTCAAAAGTATAATTTATCGAACAAAGCAAATGTCAAAATGACGTATTATTAAAGTGATCAAACTCAAAGTAGTTTGTCATTAAAACTAGCCAATAAATAAAAATTATACTCGTCATAAAATTTATAGGTATAAAAAATCCAAATATATATTAAATTGTAAAAAAATTAAATGACAAATAAACAAGATTTGGTAATTTTTAATTGTTCACTTAAAGCAATATTTTAAAGTAATATCTTAACAAACTAGTTACTAGATACAATTTCACAACTGCAAAAGGGTTAACCTAATACCATTCACTTGACGTAAAAGAGAAAATAATAAAAGTTAATAATTTTCACTATAATTTGAAAACTCTTAACCCTAGATATTCTTTCAGCATGATGATTTCTTTTGACTTTTTAATATGTTGCCATATTGAAAACACACAATTATTTTTTAAGCCCTCCAAATGTTGTTTTATAGTTTATTTAATAATTTAAGGTGTTTTTGAAATACAAATGGGTTTTAAAATGAATATAGTAAGTTAACAGTTGGTATGGAATACAACTTAATATATTTTCACTTTATCCACTTATACATAGAGTAGGCCTATTAAAGAAAAATTATTGTTTTCGTCAACATTTTAAAATTCAAGCTATGGGTGTTTTTAACAAGATAATGAGGGAAATTATGTGTTAGCTTGTCCATTTACTTATAGGCGGATCATTATAAATTGCGAAAACTTGTTTCTTTATAAACCGATGTTTCCGAACAAGGAGCTACTGACAGTATTTATACATACATTTAAATATTTACATTTAATTTAGTTTTAAATCTGATACTGCGTGTAATTTAGATTTTGTCCTTAGTTTTCATAAAATTTTACTTTAAAATGTTAAAAGACTGCCATTTTAAATTTTGTGTCACAAGAAATTTCTATAATTTTTTTGTTTCCTAACATATCTATAAAAATAAAGTGTCATTATGTTTGAAATAAAAAGGGATCCAAAGTTAATACCATCGATTATTTTTATATGTCTTGATTTAATGAAATTTGACGTATAAAGTCTAACTTATGATTTATATGGACAACTTACGTCATCGCTATTATAGGAGTTCGCCGGTTTTGTAGGGCTTCTAGTGAAAGTAGTAGCTCGTGGTAGTTGGTAGTGGTTACTGGTTACCGATGTACTTGAAGGCCCAGAGAATGTTCCCTGAAAGATTGTCAAACACACTTGTAATAGTATTTACACTTAAGTTATACTGTTTACTCACAATAAGGTAAATACATATAAAAGGATAAAAAGGGACTATGTGGCCCTAACTTTGCCTGAACAAATATAGAATTTTTCATTTATTTTATATTTTATTTTACTTTATATACGGCGAAAATTTACTATAAACCTGAGGTTATAATTTTTTGTTTATACTGAACTATTTTGGCTGCACCGAATTTAATACAAAATTAATTAAGCATAGCACAACTAAAATACCTATTTTCTTAAGCTGTAGGTCTAGGGCATAGAACCAAAAACAAATAAATTTATTTATTGGTACTATTTTATTGAATTAATCTGACTTTTTATCGTAACTAGCTTGTTTATTGAATTATATTCAACCATGGTTCATACAGCCAAGCCATTAAGCTTTGCCTATAAAACCTGTTTTATTTAGTTATCACAGTAAACTAAATTCACAATAATTCCTTTGTCTGAAACTATATACAAATCCAATATGTTTATCAATTTACAAGCCTGTCCTAACGACATTGTAAAACGCATTTTAAATATACTTTTATAAAATGTTAAAGTTATTCCTAGTTATAAACAAATAATTTAAAACAAAATGAAGCAGGGTTTATTTTCGGGATCTGTTAATCCTCACTTAATCGTAATCAGTTAAGTGATTACCTTGTTTTGCCAATTGTCATTTGAATGCATTTCTGTACTTTTCGGCAACATTTTCCACACATCATCACCTTTGTTCATAGAAAGTTTTGCCCCTTCAGTTTTTAACATAAGAGTCAAATGGTCAACAGTGTCTTCTTGTTGTCCAGAATTAGTCCGATCTGTGTTTCCAGGTCCATAGTTAGAGGCAGTGACCACTCCCATCCAGCTAAGCAGAGTCACGACTGCCAAACACCCTTCCATTATTTGTTTTCTGGAAACAGTAAAATTAAAATTAAAAACATTTTTTGCATGCAAATTATAGCAATAGACTCTGGCTGTTGTATAACATTGCACTTTATCACTGGGCTTACTTATGAAAACTATACAGTGTGATTGAAATGTCCCGGAATGGTGTAATATATTTCTTAAATTTATAGATAAAGTAATAAAACTTGGTATATCAATAATAACCATAACGTCGACTCTATTAAGCTATTATTACATTTTTACCTCTTAAGGGGGGCGGCCTACGAGGAGTAATACGAAATAGCAGCATAGGTCAAGTTTGGTTTATAATTAATGGTTTATAATTAAAGGTCTTATTTAGTAAAACACAATGCCGCAAACCCGAACTCAAACGGACATTCAAGTCAAAAATGGCAGCTGTTCAAATACTTCTTTAATCTGCCATTTTGAGTCTTTGAACGGCTGTAGTTTTTTAACTAACTGATATTTTCAGCTCAATTTTTCGGCATTGTATTCTACTAATAAAGGCCTTTACTGTAATGTGAATATCGACCCATGCTTACGTTTATGATTTTCTTCCGACTTCTAGCGGGTGCCTCGCAGTAGTCTATTCAAATTAAAGAAATCTTTGAACAACTGTAATGTTTGACTCCGTTGTCCGTTTGAGTTCAAGTTTGTGGCATTGTATTTTACTAACAGGGACCTTTAAGATACCAAGCTCGACCTGTGCTGCTATTCAAGAATTGTGTCTGACTCCTCGTGGGCCGTCACCCTTAAGGGATAAAAAAGTAATAATAGACAGTTTTGGTTGTTGAAAATTGATACAGTCGATATTGTAACAACAACAAATATTAGTTTTTGTTTATGTCGGCAAAATCCAAAAAAGCATAGTAGGCCCTAAACACTCATTTTGCATAGTATTTTTTTTTGCGTTGTAAACAATGTAATGATGAATCTACGCATATAATAAACCTGTAACGAAAACAGGTGACTTCACAGTACTGCAGCAAAAACAGCCGTTTTAAATATATGCCTTGGGGGGCTGAAATAAAGTTCTATTGGGAGTAAAAAGCCTTTTAAGTTTCTAGGAAGTAAAAAAGAGATGTTGTAAACTCAGTTGTAAACTTTGGTTGTAAGCAATCGTATGTATCGAAATTATTTATCGATTAATCGGATGGCTTATTTTTGCATTCTTCTCAATACACTCACACAATCGTAATAGATCAAACGATTGAATCTTTTACTTACTTAAACAGCTGCTTCTTTGCAATAACAAAATTGAAAAAATATGAAAGTCGTTTTAGGAGATAATTACGAAAAGTGGTTTTGTTTTCTCGCTAGGTTTGTCAAATAGTTTTTAAATTTGACTAAAAACAAAGTTCATCACCCAGGGGAAAAGTTTCTTTTCAGCCCTCCCTAATTTTATTGAACGTGAAACTTGAGCTTGGGACGAAAAGAATCACTTAACGTCCAAAAAACCATTTCGTTGTTCTTTGGGTAAAAAAAACCCCGCCGCAGCAAACCTGCCGATTAAGCAAATTTCCATTTGTCGGAATTGATTTTCAATTAAATCTATTTAAATAACATTAGGTTTAACGAGTCCCTACAAAACCACTAGGGACTCCTAGGTTTGCTGCTACAAGAAAACTGTTGAAGTCAGGTTTTTAGTAAAATAATAATAGTTTAGTACAAAATAAATACATTTGCCAAGTTTTATCAAAATATATCCATAAACAAGCAAACTACGACATTTTACAATATTCTCCATAAGAATAACATGGGAATTTTAAATTTACAATTTTTTGAATTTTCTCCGTTACCGAAAACCGTACAAAAACACTTTGATATACTAAATTATTTGTTTTTAAGCTCTTTAAAAAGGTCTAGAGATAATTTGGGATATTTTGTGTTTTGAAGGTCAAAAATGAGAAAAACCATTTTTACCCCATAAAACCCCCCGTAAAACCCCATTCCCATGGTCCGATCATGCTGGTTCGCGAACTCATTCAAGTTTATCCCACCTTACACCTTTCAACCAAATTTCATCAAAATCGGACAAAAATCACTCAAGTTATCGCGTTCGCGGACGTATATATAAAGACATAGATAAAAATTTGAACGAATGGTGTTTTTGGCTTCTGGGGATATCAAAATGAAAAAGTAAATCGGCCCCGGGCCTAGTTCTTACCGTGCCACCTACGGTAATAGCTACTTCCCAATAGGGAAATTCGCTAAAACAATCACTGATATAGGATTAAATAAAATAATACTTTAAATTGAAGAAGATCAAAGTTCACTCTGCCAAGGAAATAAGTATAACTTGTTGTATTATTAAAATGATATTCCTATGTGACACGTATTTTATAACATTATGCCCAAACGAGAGCAAAGTCACGAAAAATTGATTTTCAACCAAAAAATAAATGTATGTTCCTGGAATTATAAAAAATAAAATAAATTAATATAAGTCGTATTAGTATATATTCAAATTAAAATTGACATTTAAAATATATTTGTTGAAAACCTACTTTTTATCCTGCTAACTGCACAGCTTTGAAACTGTTCTAGGCTGCTAAAATGTTGACGCTTACACGTTAGCTAACACTTGATGTCAAATACGTTAAACTGTCTCGGTGTTTAACATATTTCATACACATGTGTTGCGGGATTGCAAACTTTTTGAAATATGTTGCCTTGACAGTCTTTCTACAAGATTCGATATTCGTGTCACTTAAATTTTCGGTGTATTTATTTATTCCCAACGGAAAATTGCCAATACATACACAAGATTGCAAAAAGTAACATGCAATCTTACTATGATGTTAAACATACAGTAACCATAACCAGATAGCAATTGATAAAACAATAACAAAAAAGCTAGTTAACAAGCAGGAGTTAACAAAAACTTAGTAACAAAAACATTTCAACAACAATAAATTAACAACAGCAAATTGCAAGAAGAAATACCCCGCCACAGCAAACCTGCAGACTAAGTGAATTTTGATTTGCCGAATTTGATTTTCAATTAATTCAGTTTAAATAACATTAGGTTTAACAAGTAGGCCTACCTAGATTTGCTGCTACAGGGATCCTAATAAAGTGTGATTTCAAATATAATATTATAATTTTATTTAACTTAGTATAAAATAAATAAATTTACCAAGTTTGATCAAAATATATCCATTAAAACAAACTACAACAGTCTACAATATTCTCTCTAAGAATAACATGGGAATTTATTATTATTTTTTTAATTTTCATTGTAATTAATAAGCGTACAAAATGACTTTAATTATTTGTTTTTTAAGTTATTTAAAGTGTTCTAGAGTAAAATTGGGGAATATTTTGTTTTGAGGGTAAAAATGAGAAAACCCAATGTTTACCCCCTACCCCGATCCCATGTTCCTGTTATATCAACGGGCATGTTCGATCATGCTGGTTTGCGAATTCATTCGGCATTCGAGTTTATCCCATCCTACACCTTAAGGCCGAATTTAATCAAAACCAGACAAAAATTACTCGAGTTATTGTGTTCATTGACACGTCATATACCTTAAACACACTTGTTATAAGTGCGATGTTTATAAAGCAATTTAAATATGGCCGAGAATGTAATCACATACACACACTCGTGTTTTTAACGTACATTTTCGCTACACTTCAAAGAATAATATATTTTTAATTTAAAATATACATTGCTATACTCTTATTTTCATAACGATTAGAGATATTTCAAAACTAATCTCATTTTAAGGTTAGACATGGCATTTAAATTTTGATATTCGTGCAATTTACATTTTGATGTATTGCATATTTCCAAAGTTACGACACACGATGGTCTTCATAATCAACGAACCCTAAAATGTAATTATTTATTAATGAATGTTTTCCCACAAACCTATTCTTATTAGGCTTTTTATGTTCGGCAATACAAAGTCTTGTTGATTTGAAATGACCAAATCTGCTACTGAGTAATTAAAGCAATGGTAGAAAATAAATTTACCACTGAAAAATACTTTCATGTTTATTTAATGTCTTTAAATTGTAGTGACAATCTATGCAATTATTGGTGGCACTGTTTTTATTCGCTTTATACTTCCTTTTTGTGTATGGTTTTATCGTTTAAACGTTCGTATATTCATGTACTGCATGTGAATCGACCACCTTACGAAGTGATCACTTCATCCGTTGACTTGAAGATGACTTCTTGAAAGTTGAAACTAGTTGCGACATTAGCAAACAATTTGGATTACATGGAAGCAGATATTATGAACCGATTTATATATTCAACGGAATCCGTAGGCTAACCTTGAAACGTATTTTGTTAGGTGATAAAACAGTTTAGATCTTAGAACTGTATTGGTGATTTAAAATGCTTACATTATAAAAAACAAGCGTAAAAGTTAAACTAATTGTTGGCAACCAAGGAATATTTAGGATAGTTCATTTGCAAATCTAACGACCCGTAATACCCACGAGTCTGTAATCAGGAAAATTGAAATTGTACTCATTACAAAAAGGTAAACTGAACAAGAAGATTGATTTATTTCAAAAGTAAAAAAGTTACAAGTAAATTCTTATTTCCTCAATTCATACAAAACATATATGTAAGGGTGGTTGTTTTCGAAAACGTAAGAACCTATGTAATCAATGCGTAATATGTTTTACACACTGTAATACATATGAATTGTAACAAGTTTTTTAAGGATTGCGTTAGGTCATATCAAAGTTATTTTTGTGGACTTAAGATTTTGCAAATTATTTATTATATTAAAAACTGATTTTCCAAGAGTCATTAAGTGCTCAGAAAAGCTTAATACCTAAGTGTTTAAAGGGTCAATTTTTGTATATCAGTAACATTAACACAGCAATTAACATTGATCTCATGTAAACCGTGACTAAAGCTGAGTTGTTATTATTTTTTTGCCTAACGCAGTTTGTCTTAACGGTGAGCCAACTGACGTCATGAGGCATAGCCGCAACGCTTGGCTGAGGTTGCGTTTACATTGGAGGCACGCTTGGTCAAGCTTGCCCTTTGAAACAAAATTGTAGCAGATTACTGGAAACCGCTGGCGACCAGTCATGGTTACAGTGCTTGTCAATAATTAAATGCTTATAATGCTTGTCCTCTTAAATCACGAAACAAATAAATTTGTTTTTGAAGCAAGCGTGACTCAGTTTGTTGTGGTTCACTGACAAAGTAGCATAGGTTGTGTATCTGAAAACTGTTATTTTTTATATTTAAGTGTTGTAATAAGTTGTTTAATTGTTCAAAATGGATACCGAGGCGTTGATTGATACATTTATTCTTTTATAACGTTTTTATAGTTATCGCATTATTATTGTTGTACTCTATTTGCAAATATAGGTACTTTAACTTGTCAATCAAACTATATGGAAATTTATTTTCCTATGAAAATATACCTGTAACAATGGTATGATAAAAATTAAGCTCCTCTAGGCTTATTAAAATTACACTGTTTTGGTTAGTATAATTATGTGTTTTTATAAAATAATTAATTATACAAACATTACATCGACTCCTACAGTTTCCCGTCCCCCCCCCCCCAACTCGTTTGAAGTCTAATAATACAAATGTAACTCAATTTTCAAGCACACTGTCCGAGTGTCCGCATCATCTGACATCTAAATTTTGACTCTTTTGTGATGTAGGCCTACTGTGACTAGTGTGGGCGACCACTGTTCTTGGTTGCTCTGCTCTAATGTCGATTGTCTGTGCTATCGGCAACGGCACGCTTGCGCAAGCGTTCACCACCATTTTACTTGCCCAAGCGGGCCTCCAATGTAAACGCAGCTTGACACCTCTCCAACTACGAACGGGGAGAACTCAGCCGAAGTTAGTCCATTCGTTTCTGTCGGTCACCTGAATTCCGCGTCTCCCACTTTCCCTTTTTATAAAAATGAAATCCATCATTCAGAATAATGTCTAACTTAACGTATTGTTGTGTATTGTTACGAGTTCTACTCTAAGATTGCTATTTTTCTTTTTAGCTAAAACTGATGGGTAATAAATTTTAGTTAATTGGATTAAATCGTTCGTTATGATTACAGTAAGTTGGAAGTCAAGTTTATTGTAAATTATTTGTTCAAAGTTTGTAGTTTCATTTGGCAACCTGTCACAAAAGAAATAGAAAATATACTGTTGATTGACTAGGATGGGGAACATTTTTCGCAAAGAAAAATAAATAACACAACTACTTTTGCTGAATGATCTTACAGTTTCGTTTTTGTTTGTAGTTGACGCGTTCTGCCTTGTTATTAAAACACTTGTTGTTAAACACATTTAGACTCTAAAATCAAACCAAAATGGCAATGTCGCTTACATATATTTTTACTTTTCAAAACTGTGTTTTCGAAAATTCTGGTTGTAACGTTGAAGTGTTCACGGAGCAGTATTAGCTGTTTTTTATTCGCTGAAATATATGATAGATACCACTTGTTGTGCGTCATAAACCTAATTCACCTGTCACTTTGACAAATTGAAACATCAGGTAACATGAATTCAAGTTGGTAAGATAGTCAGCCATATGTGGTTTGAACCCGAATCGTTTCAAAAAACTTTTCACAGCAAACATTTAACAATGTTTTTTTTGTTTTATAAAATGATATAGTTTAAAGTTACAGTAACAAATAAATTTCTTTTAGCAAAATTGTCTGCTATGTTATATCTTTTCAACAACACATTTAAACGTAGCGATAGAAGTACTACAATTCACGATCTAATGGCTTTGCCGCTCTGAAAATTTTCATACTTCTTTAAATTATGTGGACATTATAGAATCCGGTTGATAACTAACAACCGGATTCTATTTTGATGAATCACATATTTCACTACTAGTCACGAAAGTGACACCCGAAATGGGACTTAATTGACGAGTATTGAACTATACTTTTTATCACGATGAAAATAAACGGTATCAGCAATCTGACACATAATTTCTCTCATAAGCTTGTCAACAACCTTTATCATGGGTAAGCGGTGAGAGTGATAATTTTGTAGAAAAAAATCACGAAAGTTGCAATAACTTTTAAACCGTGATTTTTACGGAAAATGGGATTGATACAATTTTGTTCAGAATCTAAAGGAATATAACATACTAAATTTTTATCAAAATCGTTCGGGTCATTTTAGAGAAAATCTGATTTTCCGTTATTTTATGGGTTTTTATGGGAAAATCCCCATTAAAATCAAAATAAAAAAAAATGCCTGGAGATACCATATATTAGTACCTACATACAAAATTTCATCAAAATCGGACTACAGGTGTGGTCTGTAGCTCTGTACACATCCACACATACAGACACACACACACAGACATCACTTCGGAAACAACTTTTTTGGGTGCAGGGGGGCCCAAAATTGATATATCCACTCAAAACTCAAACTCAAAAGTTTTGACGAAAATAATACTTTCTCCATATACTATGTATAAGGGGAGAAAGTAAAAACTTCTTCATTAAACTTTAAAAAAATATCTGATATTTCGTAATCTATTCATTTTTCTAATCTAAACACAATACGGCTTTACAATAAATTTTAGAGCAATTGCTTAGTATCAAGGGCGTTATTTTAAAACGAATAACAGTCATAATTTCTGATGACTTTAAAAGATTCGACTCAAAGATTAATACTCAAAAA